CGTCCCTCTCTCATCGGATACGAAAAGAAGAAGAGAAAGAAGAGAGAAGAGAATATGTCGTTTTCATAGCGCGCGGGCGCCGTGTTGCGCCGACGATCGTTATTTTCACGACAACGGTCCGTCCCCATCAAATCCGTTTGTAAGTTATTTGTATGTTATTTTATTCTGTCCGAAAGACCGGAAATGTTTACTCGTTCTCCGACGACAAATAAAAATGTATATTGTATGAACCCGCGAAGAAAAACTGGAACTTGACGCGCAGTAGACGTGCACTCCGGGGAGTTATAATAATTACATTAGGTACAATAAACTAAAACCTATAACTTTTCCGGAAGAGATGTATTTTTGAATAACCCTGAAAATGATTTTCTAACGCTATTATAGTAAGTTGTAGGTTTTTTTTTTTTTTAAAAAAAAAATATTTTACATCGATAAAACGACATTTAAATTCATTTTTATGGAAAAACAGTTTCAGTCAACCGATTCGGTCGATAAATGTATAAATGCGGTTTGGAAGATTCTTGCGATGATGTATACCTACGCACACACAAGAACTCATTCGTTCTTTATGCGATAGTGCGAAACACATTTTTACAAAGGCGAATTTCAAAAATAGATAATATTAACGGTTTTGCATCATCGAGCAATCCGTTTGTTCACATCGTGTCCAATAATCGAACCAACGTTATTGACAGTAATCAGTGGCGTATCTTTTCATTTTTTTTTTTTTTAAGTATGGTTGTGTGATGAGTGATGATAAAAACACGCTCCCAACCCATTATTTCAAGTATACAGTGAATAATACAATTTCGAAACTTGACTTTATAATTTCTTTTTGTTAGTAGTATCCGATGTATTTAGCGTAGGATAACCATTGTCTAAGAACTTGTCTGATTAACCAACAATAGTTTAGATCTAAGAATAGTGGACGGCGGTTTAGCAGAAGATACTTTAGTACAGATTAATTAATAATCGTAAGTAATTCAGAATTACCATTGTTTCAGTTTCACAGAAATGGTTAGAAATGACAATATAATAATTTAATAAAAATGATAGTAGTATATAGCGTTAATAACAGGGCGAGAATAAGCCCAATGCACACTTTTTAAATAGTTCGTTTAGATAAAATGTTCACTTTTTTAACGTTAACGTTATTTTATTTATGCGTACTTCAACAATATTATTGTCAGCCATGTCGTTATCATTTGGAACATTGGGATTAGAAATATTAAATTATTATACTAACTTGATGATGATGTTCAATATCATGTTGCTTTATTGAACTTAAGATATCAAATTCAATATATATTTTAATAATTATTATATAAAAGGTATTTTTCAAACATGTAATATTTATTTTTTCCAAAGAAACTATATATTTTTATGTTTTAATTTGTATCTTTACATAATATAAAATCAAAATCAAAAGTAGAAAAAAAAAAGAAAGTTCAGAATAATATGTTCTAAAATTAAATAAAAAAAAAAAAAAAAAAAAAAAAAAAAGGAACAAAAGCGTATTGTTTAATAATGAATTCCGTGGATTCTTTTTAACACATATTATTTTGAAATTAACTTGATAATGATTTAGACCTATATCGCTGAAACCCATTTAACCGAATCCCATCTCACCGAATCACATTAAATACCTACTACAGTTTTTACTATAAAAAATTTTACTTAGGCACTTTGAAAATAATTTAATAACTATAACTACCGATCAGCTAGAACTCTTGAGCTATGGAAAATAATACCAACAATTGAGAAAAAATGTCAATATTTTGAAAAAAAAAAAAATGTTCCACATACCGTATTACCAGAACAAAAAACCAATATGCATGATCTTATTTTGAACTTTATTATAGATACATACAATTATAAATTTATACTACTATTTTAATAAAATATAACCGTAAACAAACTGTAATATATAAAAAAAAAAGATTTTTTTTACCTTTAGAATATCTCGATATTCACGTCGTGCCAATTCAACTCGATGCGTCGGATCAATGGGTTGCACATTTCTTATCGGTGGTCGTTTTGATTTCACCTAATTTTGTGTTTTTTTAGTTACATTTATTTTAAACCGCGTAGATTGTTACGATTTTATCGCTTTTTCAAATTTCTAAATTGATTAGTGGTTTTAATTTTACGAATTTATGGTTACTAATGGTTATTCTAATATGCAGAATTTCGGAATAGTAGTATGTATTAATAAAAACCAAAATATTCCCCGTCATTGTTTAGTTCAAAGCACGTGCCTACCCTGCTCGGTTAATTCTCTTGCGTATGTTAAAAAACACAATATAATAATAGTTAGTCACTTAAAAACTATTGTATTTTGACTGGATATTTGTAAACGAAAACCGATGAAAAACGATAATTATAATAAGTGGGAAAAAGAACTTTTTATAGAATTGATATAAAAACATACATAATATATTACTGAGAATAAAAAACAAATTCGGTGATGTGGAAAGAAAAATAGGAATGTTGGAATAAACTTCGTACGGAATTCAAAAGCTAACGGCAATTGCTTCCATGAACTTTTACACAAATACCGTCGAAGTACGAAAAGTTTAAGTAAGTTGTACGTAAAAAAAGTGCTTCAATAAATATAGTCCTTTACCTGTGTGTAGCTGACTCTTTCGCGAAGAAAGATTCGCGGTCGTCGTTACATCCCAATAATTACATTGTCAATTTCGTTTACGTGATTAAATATTAAGTATTGGTATTCCACAACGTATTATTGTGTATACACAATTTGTAAAATGTAATGTAATATTGAACGAAATCAGAAAGTCGCATTGTGCCCAATAATCGAAACAACGTCTGTTATAGTAATATTAACCGATAGGTTTTATACGGGATTGCACATTCTATAGGCAACCGGAGGAGTCCCTGTGGAGAAGAACAAAGGGATCGACCACATCCTGAATGCAGTATGATGTTTCATGCATTAAATATTATCTAAGAACTATTGTAATTCTTTACTCTTAAATTCGATAAAAAAAGAAATTAAAAAAATTGACCTAGGATAAAATAACAGCTACTGTTGTAGGTAGGAAGTCAGAAAATAAGATATAGATCGAAATCTAATGTATATCTGTGATTAATCGTTGCTTAATCACTGCAAACGAAAAAACGATTTTGAGCGGAGCTCGGATGATAGTGTTGCTTTGTCAACAACATACGAATATATTATGTCATATTGTGGTAACGTAATTGCATATGTATCAAACATTTTCTTTAGTAATATTTTAAATTCTAAGTGAAACGGAAAAGCTTATAGTTTTACAAAGATGTTTTATTTTTTTTTTTGTGCAACTAATAAATACTATCAAAATAAAAGAAATAAACGATATATAATGAAATTTAGTGAGTCGTGAGAATTTCCCCCCCAAAATCATTTTCGTTCGTACAAATTCTGCAATCCTGACAGTTTTTTGGGATTCAAGGGGGAGGGGGCAATGTGATTACACCAATTATCACGACAGTCAATAATGTTGATACACGATTGTAATTTTATCTGTTTAACAACCTAGGCGTTTATAGTTTGCTCTACAAATAATATACAAACTAAATTATATATTTTTAATTTTTTTTATTTTGATTTTGAAATATTTCAATTCTTTAAACATATTTTTATAAATTATAAATTATAAATTAAATTGTTTTTTAAAATTTTTCTTTCGTGAAAAATTTGAGTTATACTAATTTGAAGGCTTAAAATCTAATTCTAAATATTGTGTTTACAAAATAAGTATGAACAATTTTAAAAAAATTAACTTTCTTCCAAAAAAAAATCCTATATCCGCCACTGTTCCTTTTAAATGCAGGGTAACAGGTAATAGCAGTTTAGTAGACAATTTTTATCTTTAATGTGGTAATTAAAATGTTTTTTTTTTTTTTTGAAACTTTGTAAAAAAAAAAGTTACAACAATTAATAATGAAAAAAGAAAAACTTAATACTAAACATTAAATTATAAAACTAAACTGATTAATGTTTGATGAAATAAATAAGATGATAGGAGGAAGATGTATGAAAGAATTGAATGTGTATTGAAAGATAAATTATGGGAATTTATTAAGGCAGATATAACAGGGGTTGAAGGGGGGGGGTAAGAGAAGGGTAATGGATAAGAATGAGGGAAATATCACAAATTGAATCGGAGAAAGAAAGAGTACGAAGAAAATTGAAATTTTAAAAATTATTTTGAAATTTATTGTAAAATTACATATTTTTTAGGATAATTCGTATGATTTTGAGAGGGGTTAATTAACCGCTACCTATGGCGCTTTAAAAAGCTAAGAATAAGTATCGTTAGTATACAATATATAGTTTAATAAGTACGGCTACATGTATATTGTACATATTATATGTTAAGTTTTTTGACCCATAGTATTATATAAATATTTAAATATTATATTTGCATTAAATAGACAATTTGTGATTAATGAATTAAAAATTCAAGCAATTTTATACATAGCGATATAGGAAATGATTACATTATAAATTATTATGTTGCACCCAAAGTAAATTTTTAAGCCACTAGGTTTATTTGTTTCTTTGTGTTTAATTTGGAGTGACGTAAGGAATGAACAGATAATACTGTAGTATGTTTATTTTTGTCTGTTAACTACTTTTCTAAAAAATATCTTGTTCCGAAATACGAGTATGCAGTATTACGTGGAAACGAAAATAAACTATGTTTCTGAAACATTACATTTCTAAAAAATGTGTCGATGTTCATCGATTTTTTTTTAAAAATTTTATTTAGTTTAATGTTGACTTAAAACTGAAAAAATTATTTTGAAATCACGTAATAGAGATAATATTACGTCATTTATTATTTTTTTTAGCAGAATGTGTCATAGGTATAAATAAACAAATAAAAAATACATATTATACATAAAGAATCCATAACAGGTATAATGTGGAAAGCATAAAATCCGACCGGCCATCGATTTCCACCAATTTTCGATTAAAACTCGATGTTTGAATTTTCGAAATAAATCGTAAATCATAAAAGATCGTGATATATCTTCATCATTACTCGTATAGGTCTATTGTTATTTTACAATAACGATTCTTTAAATACGTTACATTTGTCACTCCGTATACGAGAAAAATTTGATTAATGAGTACGGGTCTTACTTTACTTGTTATTGTACACACTCGAAAATACATATAAAAGCGAGTTATTTTTTCCTAAATACAATTTCGCGTATTCGAGAACAAATTATCCAGTATATTCTGTCCATGTATTATTTTGTAAAAATGAAATTTAATACAACCGTAATGTGTCAAACGATAGTGTTTACAATATTATTATCATATTCGGTCGGTGGGTGTGTAGCCGATGGTGTTGAACATATTGATAATACGTGGTACAAAGAAGAAAATGATGCGGTTATAAGTTTGGCAAATATCGCGAATTCTATCATAACTTGGAAAACTTTGATTTCACCCCAGTATCTAACTCTGGTTTTGCCTCAAGATCTGACCCAAGTTCCATCCAAGGATCCAATCCAGGTTCCGTCCGATAGTGACAATAAAACTCCAGGACAATCAGTGGATACATCCCAAGTTTTATCTCAAAAGGCGACCCAGGAGAAGGAACCTGATTCGGCCGGTGATAGAGTCATTTCAATTCAAGGGCAATCCGTAATCGACGAAGGAACAATAGGTATTACAGATAACCTGAAAACATTAAACGATATAATGTATGATCTTCAATGTACGTACGCTTACTTCGCCAAATTATACGTGGAGTTTATACTGCAAAACGTGATGGTAGATAAAATTGAAACTCTAAAGCCGTTGTTGCATTTAAAAAGTGCGTTAATAGCAACATCGACAAAAGCAAAATACACCTTCATTAACTTTGGCTTCCACCCTCCGGACTGGTTAACGGCGTTTCTCACGTATTTACGAGGACAAGATGAGACGCCCATATTCACTATCGGGCTGGAAGGCATTGCAAACGTTTTAATAGAGGCCACGAATGAGAGCCAGTGTAATTACACCGAAGTGTATAACACTTTGTTATATCTTCCTGATTACATGCATTGGGTGCTATGGGAAAGCTGTTCGGAATACATTGATATTTTGACGGAATTAAAACACGAAGATGGGTTGGCGTTATCGTTGTATTGGTTGGGTATGAATTTCTTGTTGCATCGAAACCGATCCGTGCTGTCATATGAAAATACGCCGGCCACTTCCTGGTTTCTATACTCCTACAGTCTAATATCCATAGAAAAACCATACAGTGTCACGGATATTAATGATAATCACACATTTTACGCTGCAGAATTGAGAGAAATCGACAAGTATTTGACTCGGGGTTACCAGATGCTGGAATTATCTATTTGGAACAGTCCCATAACCCCGGACGTTCTTGAGTATGTAACTGAAAAACCCCCCAAGGTGTTCGACGTGGAATATTATCGGAGCAGGTACATCGTATTCAAAAATGTACTAAGAGAAATATTGTACGCTGTACATTGCGTGTACGCTCATTACGCAGCGATACATATAAGGGAAACGTTTGACATATTCTTTAAGCTTAATCCGGATGTACGCGAGAAAAATCGAAAAGAAAACGTGGCGTTGGCGTTGAAGTATTTAGAAATAGCACATATGCAGTTGGCCACGTACTACAACGAAAATCGCCACCCTCCCAAATGGTTGATGTTCTTGGTCTTTTATTTGAACAAACTGTCGGTTTTGTACCAAGATCCATCCAGTTTCGCAGTCGAAACTAAGGAGGTACAACGCTACATAGACGAAATTTGTATGTATTGTGGTAACATAGCGTTTCCTAAGACATTTTACGTACCTCTGCGAGAAATCCAAGAGAATTATACGCAAGGACAAACTAAATTGTTCATTCGTTTGCAACAAGAAATGATCGCAATACAATTGACTGACCCCGAACGCGGTCGTTACGTATCGGGCACGTATCAGAATTTAATTCAGATTGCGTATTTCCTATACACAAATTCAGCCAATCTGCAGCATTCGAATTACCAAGAATTTCATGTGTCCAAATGGTTAATATTCGAACGTATGGAGATTACTACTGACCTATTAAATACGCTACGATGGGATGTGTTGGAACTGGATAGAGAAAATTCGGCTTGGGACCAGTCGGTGACGACTTTGATGGAAAACATACAAAAATATAACATAGAATCTCAAAATGGCGGGATGATAAGATTAATAAACTCGAAAAAAATTAACCACGCATTCAGTGCTTTCATAATGGCGGCCGTCATTAGACTCTCAACGTCGTTCTTGATCCGTTGCAAAAATATTAGATCTTCGAATGTCTACAGAAATAGCGAACACGGAGACAGTTTTGTTGATCACTGCACCGGAATAGCCGCGCCGGTAACGCGAATATGCAACATGACGGCATTAAACGACTATGATCATTTTTTCGTAAAGTTGTCGGCGGAATTGGAGGATTACGAAAATCAGGTACGCGATGAAGAAAAGGACCACCAATTAAACACCAAAAAAATCGATAAATTGATTTTAAAAAATATTGTTAAATTACAGCCAATTTCGATTAATTGGAAACTAAAAGCTAATAATCTTATACAGTCGATTTCGATCCAAGAATTGACTTTATGGAAACCGGTAAAGGACATAAAACAAGCGATTGAAAATTTTGAAACGAATTATAAGGAAAAATTCAAAACAATGGTCGATTACATTCGTATTCACAATGCATTAGTCAACGCTGTCGACGTCGATTGGCCGTACTCCATGCAAGAATTTAATTTTAAAATCGTATAAAACGTCTCGGCAGATATAGAAATAAAATTATAGTAATTATAGTTTACATTGATTAATATTAAACGAAATGTTTTATTATAGTTCCTCATTCAATAAGTTTTTAAACAACGTAGACTCACCCTTAGTAATTGTAAAAAAAATAGATTTTATTGCAATAAAAAAATATTTATACTATAGACGATGTTGTAGTTCTATTGAATATATAATAATACGAATAAAATGTCACAATCGGTGGCGTATTTACCGGAGCCGATGTATATTATAATTAATTATATTATCGGTGAAAATCACTCCCATACAAAAAAAAAAAAAAATTGCACACACTTTGATTTCATGTTTGATGCTAACCATCGTCATTTTTTTCTGTTAAAATATTTCATAGACCTCGCGTAATTTGAAGATGCCAAAAAATAATGGGGTATTTTTTTCTGTCATTGTCCTCTTCGTCTATGGCACAAGGTTTTTTTTTTTTTAATAAGTTAAACCTATCAGCATTTTGTTTCAATTAAAAAAAAAAACCGACAAATGAGCTTTCTTGTAGCGTATTTTAGGATATAATTGGTGTATTGGGAATACGTTTTTTGATTTTTCCAAGCATTTCACGTAACAATTGAAAAAAAAAAAACACTGAACTTTTAAAATGCTACGCGCAATTTTTTTGGGAAATCGTTAACAGTAAATTGAAACTATCAAACTTTTATTTAACAAATAGTCTTCACAAATTGTTCAATCGGTTGACATTTTTTGACATAACAGATATTAATTAGGTATTGATACAGCACAACGTCATTTATTTTAATAAATAACGTAACATCTGAAGTTGAATATGAATCCAGTACTACGATATTTTATTCAGTCACGACTTAAAGAAACGCAATACAAAACCAAACCATGAAACAACAGAGATCAAGTGAAATATTATTACACGCTCATAACCCCAATAATACATCATTATTTGAACATTCGCGTTACTGGCGAATACGCGTGTAAAACTGATACCGATGTGTTAACGGTGAGTAACATTGTTATTTCTGACCTGGCTGGCCACCGTTATAACAGCGTAATGAGTCGGGAAAAACACCAGATTACCCGCAGACGTATTAAATTTTATATTTTACATATAAACGCATGCGGTTCGTCGAAAAATACAAAAAACGACACGAAGCATATACGTGCACAATAATTATACCGGTAGATAGTATCGTTTCGAATTGTACAAAATTGCTGCGGCTAAACAGAGGCCACGTGTCGGCCGAGTCGGAAATGATTCGTGGAAATAATTTTCAGAAAAAGTGTTTTCTCACTGTTTTGTTTTGTTATTTGTTTTTTTTTGAAATAAACATAAAAATAAATTGTTTCGATTTAAAATATTATAGTATACAAAGTATATCTGCAGGATATGATAATTTCTAATATGCGCACCTATAATGATACAGAAATCTGTCAAATACTGCGGAGACCAGCTTAGCCGCTGTATTGTAAACTTGTAATGCTCATGTAGGACACCGTGTCCAATATGTCGAGAACGCACATACTAAGCAATATTATAATATATACGTGTAATGCGACAATAAATTTCCATTTAAAATCGTTTAATTTCGACGTCTACGACTATGTAATATAATATATTGTTATCGTGGTAATGGACTCCGTATATTGAACGAACGTTTTTCAATTGTTTATTGCATTTTCGCATCGCGCGTGTAATCGAGTGAATATTTCATTTTAGGCGTACAGACGTATAATAATACGCACCGACTAGGCTTTTGCGAGTTATCGCATAAAAACGGAAGGAAAACTTAGGAAAACGGGAACAGTTTTACGGAAATATCGGTTTAAATATTTTCAGTTTTGTTTTTTGTCGTTATTTAATAAAAATTTCTCAATTCTATATAAATGTCGAGGTTTTAGTAATAGTGCTCTACTACTCTAATCCCATCCGAACTTATTGAAAACGGAATAACTCGTCAATGTATTGGCTGAAATTAAAAATGGTCAAAACTAAAATGTATTTGAACTACAACTCCATCTATTTATAAAATTTTCAATTTCTATTTAAAAATCAAAAGTAGGTAATGGTTTCACCTCCAGAAAATAAGGGTGAAACAAAATAATAGTAGAGTAACATTTTAGAGCAGTTATTTTTTTAAATAGCTAATGAAAAAAATTTCCAAATTTCAAAAAATGTAGTTCTTCCCGAGATGATATGAGTGTCTTATCAAGGATTGACACCCAGTATATATAACTGTAATAATGGACCGTATATTGTTATTGAACATAAGATTACCAATTGTTTATTGCCTTTTTTTATATTACCGCGCGTGCAGTCGAGTGAATATTTCATTTTAGACGCACAGACGTATAAAAGCAATATATATTTTTTTTTTAAACGTTTCATAGTATGTTTACCGAAGTGCGAAATGTATTTAAACTAATATTCTATCTATTTATGGAATTTTCAATATAGATTGCCATTTGAAAATCAAAATATATAGTCGTTTCACCTCCGAAAATAATGGTGACGAAAATTATAACAATGTTAGAACTGTTTTTTAATTGCCCAAAAATAAAATTCTGTAAAACGTTAATAATTTCCGAGATATCGCAATGTCTTCGTGAGACACTCTTATTCGACGCATATGTACACATAGTGTTGTAAAAACCAACGCATCACTAAATTTTAAAAATTTGTATTCCCAGGGGTTTTAACTAGGATCGATCGTTATTTTACTACTAACCTTTATCCTAATAATATGTCATTTTAAAAATTCAAACCCTGTAGGATTTTTTTTTCATATTTACACCGAGAGCAGTGGAGAATCTGTTTTCATAATGCTTCTAATTGCTCGCATCGATTATTAATGAATATAGGTAATTAAATATCGAGTTAAAATCTTATTTTTTCCTTCGAAAGACAGGCTCAAATAATACATAAGTATATTGATTAATACTAAAAGTGTGGTATGAGTTGTGTAACTGCATCATCATTTTACAATATGCCAACTTAACCCCAATCTTTACATGACTTTGAGCCGATTTTTGGGTCTTAGTTAGCATGGACCTTGGTGCCAGGGGATGTCAAACGGTCGGGTAAAGGTTTTCCCTAGCTCCAGACTCCCCGATTTTCTCATCCTGTTCTTTGTGGCACAGAATACCTCCATCATGGAGTAGAAGAACTGAGTGCCACGAACAGAGGGCATGAGTTGATTGTTAATGATGCGATCTTTATATTGGCATGGAGTATACGCTGGACCACGGTCAAATTTATTTATTTCTGTGAAAATGCTAGCACGTGCAGCCGTTGGAGGGTCGGTCTTCCCGACCCGGGTCACGGACACTGTCGTCCAGAATACTCATTCGCTGAATTCGCGACCCGGTTTCGAAATCCATGATGGTGTTACGTGGCGAATGTTGTACTTTTTGTGCTTGTCCAAGTCGGAGATTCGTATAACAGCCTGTTTATTACCTATGGCATAAGCAGTGACCACCCATGCCCATCCAGTTGGGCATAAGCCGTTCATTAGCGAGAGTTGCCAGCGAAGTTTAAGTCTAGACCATCCGAAGATGACCGATAAAGGTGAGATGAGAGTCAAAGTTTCCTTTAAAAGAAAACTGCGCGACCTCCCACCAACAGCTCAGAGACCTAGGAACACGCACTCCTTTGCAAACATCATCGACTCTGTCTTATGATGAGCGAGCTAGAGTCCGGGTGAGATGGTTGACAGCATCTCGTTCGGAACTCCATCCAGATCGGTGACCTTGCCTTTGGGAAGACGATTGACCACTACCTTGAACTCATCTAAGGTGACGGGGGAATAACTGAGAAGATCATCCAGCCAGCGGAATGTAGTGCCAATAGATGACAGGTCTAGAGGATAAGAAAGCATCCGAGATCTCGACGTCGAGTCCTCGAACCACTATACCCGGTAGAATGCCTTTTCAGTCAAAGTCGGTCAGTAACAATAAAAAGTTGATAACTACTTTAAGAAGGATACTTCAGTGTCACTAGGTCTAAATGTTACCCATAGAAAATAGGAGCTGGTGATAGGCTCCTTAATGTCTAAGCTTCCTAAATAAATACGATTTTACAACAGTTGCATATCCGTGCTCAGTATCAGCTGTTTTTTATTATGAATCCCTAAACATTAAAATATTTAACTAAAAATATTCAATAAAAAAAAATGTATTGTATACATATTTTATTAAACAGTCCTGTTACCCAGTGTATGTATGAACATATTTTTTCCCATTGAAATAGTTATAATAATTTGTGCGCAACGTTCATTATGATATTATGAAACGTGTACATACCTACTACCTACACAATTATACATGCACCTTTGTGATAGTTTCGCGAAATATTTAATTTTGATTAATTTGAGTTTTTTTTTTTTTCAGATGTAATATTTTCAAAGAAAAAGTTTTTTTCTGCGACAGTGTGGGTCGACGTTTCAAAATGTATGTGTAAATTAAACGCTGTACCTATTCCTTTGAAGATTTCGATTTCACACACGGAGCCGGAGACGTTCTACAAGTTAACGTGTACATTCTAAATAAAGACCGTCAATATTGTGATACTAGGATATTATGATATTGTGATAACGGGTAGGTTACTGGATAGGTCATTGATCCGGCGAAATTTTCAAACATATTAATTCGTAATAAACAATTTCTCTCGAGTTCGCATTACATTAATTGTTTGATTTAATAGTTTTGAATAAATTGCTATTATTTCCAGTCTGTCATAATATAATGATTGATTATCAAATTTGTTTTTTTTTTATTTCTAAGCTTTATTTTACGCGTCGAGTTAAAAATTAATATTTTTTTTTGTGGTAGGGGGATCATTAATTAATCAACGGACGGTGGCGTTGGCATCAGTACATTTTTTAAAAAACTTTCGTAAATACGTTAAAAACGATAGCGCTTACACTGCAGCTAAGGAGCAATTAAAATTAAAAAATATTGTTTCCTCGAAACCACATCTATGTGAATATTAACGTTATAGCAAATAATTGCGATCAGCATTATAATCTTATTTGTAAGCCGAACTGTATTCTTATTTTTAGTTTTAGATTTATCTCAAATCGGTCGGACTTTGACGCTCAAGACGCGTCGTCGCGACGCACTTAAAAGTTTATCAACATAATAATATTAAATTGTTAACATTATCAAATCGATTAATATTTTTTTTATTTTTTTGTAAAACAAAAATTATCATTATAGTCTCAAAAACAAACTGTTAATGATAAATTATTTGTGAAACTATTATAGGTATTTTGTAATACCTCGTCGAATCAAAGTTTGGTGTATACAAAATATTTTGCTATGGACATACAATTATTATAATATCATTAGATTAATTTTATTAAAATTACGAACAGTATTTTATTATTATTATTTATTTTTAATTTTAATATGCATAAAAAAAGTATTTCTTTCTTAATGTAAAATGTGCTCTCAGTATAATTGTCGCCGCCAACTACACGGCTAATAAACCTCTTAGACGCCTAATGCCAATGCATCTTTAATAACTTATTGACCTAATTATGCGAAATTTCTACGTTATAACTCATAAGCTATTGTAATTGTATCTTCTTATTAATTCGTTTTTTTTCGTAATGACTTCTGTTATCACAAATGCTTAATGCTGCATGTACAAAAAGGGCAGGCCTATGCAATTAAAATAAAATAAAATAATAAACATATTCTTAGATTTATACATTATAATTACAAAAACAATAAGATAGTATGGGACGACAGATAATTGTACACAGCATAACACAATTGAAGTTTTTATTTTTATTTTTAATTCTGACTGGTAATACAATGATGTTTATTTTGTTTTTATTTTTCTCTGCGAAAAATATATATAGTGCCACACTCCATACATATACCCTTATGAAACGTTTCCTCGACAAAATACTAATGCTATTGGAGCACAACATTTTTTCTTATTCATAAATGCCAACTATGCCTGTGCGGTTCTGGATCGTATTTCCATGACGCATTTGCCGTCTTGGTTGATTAAGCTGCTTAGGTATTTAAAATGTCCCACTGGTTCGGGCAGCCAATTCCCTGCCTAGATATTAATTCTACGGATCCGGTCTAATTTTTGGCACATCATAAGTTTCGTTTTTTGCCAGATGATGATCAAATGATATTTTTGAAAGTATCCGACATTTTTTCCAGTGCTCTTTCCAAATCATGCTCATTAGCAAGGATATTATTTCTCCATCCGTTTATATGCCTATTTAATTTCTGAGAAGTATTTCCCTTATTTCTTTATTGGGTTGTTCGACATAAATATTAAATGTCGAATGTTTGTTTTTTTTCCAAATTTACAGTGCTACGATTTCATTATTTTAAATTTTTACTACTTTTGTTGTCTACCATAAATATTGCTCCGTTTAAAAAACATAAAGTAATTTTTTTTGTTGAATTTATAATCTAGTTGGTAAACAAGAAAGTCGTTTTTTTGATTCACTTGTTAGTTTTATTAATAATTGAGCAAGACCGAAAAAAAACGTAGAAATAATCGGGAATATTACGAAAATAATGCTTTTATTATTTTTAATTTTGTAATTTAGGTTAAAATATTCACAGAGACTTGAAATGTTGACAGAAAACTTATGTTTACTTATTCTAGACGTGGTAAAACTCTAAAAAAATTTGAGTAATTGTTGAGTTATTTATAGTCATTTTAATTTTTCAGTAGTTAACAATAGTTTTTTTTAGTAGTATCTTTTTTTTACAGGTATAAGTAAAATACTTTATGTACCCCACCTTCTCCATTACCCACCTACAACAGTGGTCGCACCTGTCCCCAGTATCTGCATTTTTTTTGTTCATGTTCTATTATCAATGCTGGAGCCATATTTTGGAATTTAAATAAACTAATTAAGTTATTATTAATATTATGACTTACAGACAGAAAATGGACTAAAATAGAAACTCTGGTTTTAAATCAGTACGGCGGTAGCCACAGGATTTGCAGCGATTTATATTTAACTCGGCGGGGCGTGCGTACACTGACATATGGCAGACTGGGTCCTGTTGAAACGCACAATATTTTATATGCGTGTCTTGTATTATTGCATATGCAAAATTATTATAATGTGTGAATCTTCGGTTATTTAAAAAATCAAATTAGGTCTGGCCGACGACGTTTCATAATTATTAATACTCACCCACATTGTTATAATGCTCACCTGTGCACGCAGACGGTGGCGGCCAAGGATTCACGGAATTTAAGATTCCTTTCCCCTCCCACCCTCAAAATAGGAGTTATATTATAGAGATATGTCCGACACGGTATTTTTTAAAACTGCCCACCCAAAACGGCTGTAAGCCGAAACAATATTATAATATTATAAATACAGCTGATTTTTGTTTTTATGTACTGTCTGCAAAATAACAATAATTGTTGTCCCTATGTAAAAAGTATGTACACTGCATACACTACTATAGGTTGTGGCACAAAATCATCGATATAGTTTTAAAGGTAAACAATAAAAATAAAAAAATATTCGTTTATCTGTACAAATATTGGAATTGTATACACTAAATTTACAACATTCGGAGTTTAAATGGATCAGTTTCAAAAAAAAAAAAGTCATTCAAGTGATTTTCGTTATTGTTCATCAAGCACTGCACTAAAAACCGAACGAAAACGTTCGCGTAATACTTTTCCAAGCCATTCTCGGAATAAACGCCGATTTTTTATAAGCTAATTGCTTCCTTAAGAATTGTTTAAGATCCTTGGACACAACGTACAAACTTCGGGTATCGCGTGTAATCACGTAGGAAATATCCCACGGTATCTAATCTGGGCAGCTCAGAGTTTCGTCTCAAGTGGAAACCAAGAGCCTGGTGAACATTTTGTACACTATAATTCATATGTTTTCGAGGCGAAATCGCGTTGCTTCAGGTTCGGTTGGCGATATGGTCACGACTGAAACCCGTAAACGTGAACTTTTCGTCCGCCTACATTATAATTGACCCAATCGCCGCAATTTCACGATTTCCGACAGTTCAATGCTGAAATGTACACAAGAGTTATAAACGGATACAATTTGGTTTTGTTACCGGGCGACTTAAAAGCGTTACGTCTGCGAGAATACCGAAAGAAATACAAATTATCTCGAAGCTATCGCAGTGTCGCCCATAACATTCTCGTCCATACTTCATGGAGCAATCGGTACCGTCTCGTCGCGCGTCGAATCTTCCAATTCTCCCCGGCGGCTGTTCTTGCTCTGCAGCGTGACCTCGCGTCTCTCTCCGCCTTCGTCTTCGCACTCTTCGGGTTCTCTTTACCGCGCGTATAAAAGCGAATACGGACTCGGCCAGCGCGGCCGCCGTCCGCTGCAATCTTTTATTCCGCACTGTACATCCCCTGTACAGTTCCGTATGCAGAAACAGCCTCTCCGGTCAGCCCGTTGCGCAATACAATCCGCGTCGTTCGGCGGTTCGGCCGACGGTGTTTTCCCGGGGTTCGAGCGCGCCGCGCGTTGTAGTAATGTTGAGCCCGTGTCGCGCGGCGTCACAACGCCGTACACCGTGCGAATTTCGTATTTTTTCCCTGTCCGGCGTCCCGTGGACGACCGTGTGATTTAGGACGTCGTCCGCGCGCCCGAAGCGGGACAATATTTTTGTCGCGAGCGCGGCCCGCGTCTCCGGGGGAGGGGGGGGGAGGGGCGGGCGGAAATAACAAAAAACCTCGTCGTGCGGGGTCTCCGCGGGGAGCGAGGGGCGAGCGGACGAGCGGCGGTGCGGCGTCGCGACCTCCTGCGATCCGCGCGGTTTCCGCACGGGCCCGTGATTCGACCGAACGCGGCCGGACCACACAAAAATCCGACGTGCGAGCCCACGCGTTCGCGTCGATGTT